AAAAAGAGTGTGCCATGGAACTGACACTGCCATTTCTAAGGCAGACAGGCTAACATCTGCAGGTACACAGCCCCCTTTCTTATGTTCCATAAATCCTAGGTACAAGGATGAAAGGTCCCCACAGTTGTCACACTGCAAATAAAAAATAGGAGTAACTTAATTTTTAGAAAGTGATAGTATCCAGACACCAAGAATTTGTTCTTTGTGTCTAAAGTAGGGCTGGTTTAACATAGGTCTACATACTGTTTTGAGGACCCCGATATCTTCTTCTGGGGAAATAATCATTTTTCATGATGAGCTGATGAGAAAGAAGGTTCTCTGTATAGCAAGAACATATTCTTTACACCTATTCCTTACATTCCAAGTCTCCTCCATAAGACTACATAAGCAATGCAAGTCCCTGAAGCAAAATAGAACTTGCTTATAATAGCCTTATACAAATCCTATGAATATCTTAAATATTTAAAGTAGCATAAGACTCAGAAAAGCCATAAACCAAGATGTCCCATTTTGTCATCCAGAAACACAGAATCTACAAAATAAATATAGGACACATTGAAAACAGGTAATCCAAGTGAATTTAAAAATGTAGTTTCATGACCACAAATACCTTGCTTTTCAGAGAGACAGAATTGAAACAGTCAGTGGCAATGGCCACAGCCCTTTTCACTCGCTGACTAAAACATTGCAAGGGTTTTGACACCCACTTCTTTGTCATTAAGGAAAAAACAAACACAGTTTTTTACTGACAGTGAAGTCTGTTTTTTGCAAGGCAGCCCAGTGTTTCACAGCACCATGTCTCAGCCAGCTGTGAAAAGCACTGTCCTGTAATTGTGCCTCCTGGTCACATATGGCTGCTGTGCAGGCAGCAAGACCCATCTCTCACTGCTCCCCCTTCTGTCCTCAGCCAGAAAGGAATGGTCAAGAAGAGGTAAAAATCAAAGCAAAGTTAGTGACCATATTTTGGCTTCTGGCTCCCATAGCCACCTACAGATGGGCACAACAGATCCCTCATTGCACTGCTCCAGAAAACACCATCTAAGCACCCACCCCAGTATCACTTTACCACAGCTGCCTCAGATAGTCTACAAGCAGTCCTATCCATCCTCTAGCACCAGCTCATCTAACCTAACATCAGCAGGCATTTTTTTTTATAGTTTTATGTCCTACCATGTTACTGTCAATATAATTTGCAAATATATTAAATAAGATTTATAATTGGCATGAAAGGCCATACATGGAACTGCACAAAGCTCGGAAGCAATGCTTTTGACACTGTAAAGTCTGCTTCACTTATTACCATTGAAATGGTTTACACATGCATTCACCAAAGCACGCATATGCATGAACTGGGTTTCACATTTTCAATGCCTGCATGCAAACCAGAACTCCATCAATGCAAAGCCAGGATGCTTAGACTAGGAATTCTGAATATGTTTTTAAAATTCTGGACCTCTGAAACGAAAATTAAGATAATGAAAGAAAATATTTTTAGCCTGGGTCAGTTTGAATCCAAATATCTCAGGCCCTGTCTTTTTTCTGCTCAGCATACTTTGTATATTCAGGGCTAGAGAAAGGCAGGATGGTCTCACAGTGAGGGTGCTTGCCTGGATCTCTAGAGATTTAGGTTCCAAGTCCAGTTCTAGCACAGATTTTTTTCTGTGACATGGGGAAAGTCATTTAATGTTTTCCATTCTCTTTCAGATGCAATCAGTAATATTTTCCTGCTCCACAGGGACATATTAGCATTTGCAAGGCCCTCAAATGATGGAAACTGCAAGTGAAGCTAAATCAAAAGGCAGGGGAGGGAAGGCAGAGTATGTTGCTGACTCAATAGGGTGCTGGAGTCAGTGGTCACACAACCATGATACTGTAGGCTAACTGCAAAAGTTTATATTCTAAAAAATTATTCCATCAAAACAGGTGAATGAGTATCAATCTGGGGTATGCATATAAAACACATTTTAGACAAAGAACTAGTTCTGCCCTGATTCATACCAGGTGCAATCTCACCTATCCCCGGCTACAAACTCACCATTTCCCCACCTGACTCTGTAGCAGCTCCTTCTGACCTACCTCCCTCTTCCCAGCATCATATGCTCCTTTACCTTGTCAAATGAGCTTTAGTTCAAGGGCCCTACTGCCACTTCGAAGCACAGGGCCACCAATACATGAGACACTGCAGCGCTTTAATCAGAGTGGCCCTTGGAGCTGCTCTAATTAAAGCACCACCTGACCACATGTAAAATTAAGTACAGATGCCAATTAGCACTAAATTCTACACAAACATGAATTCTGTAACAGCATGAAATGGGGAAAAACTCTTTGAACAGATCTTCTGTTGTGAAATAAATATTAATGTATAGACTATGATCTTGCAAACATGTTGACATGTGCTACACTGAACACAAGAATAGATGCCATTACTCACATGCTTAAAAATAGGCATGGGTTTGTAACACTTAGGCCTTTCTGTGTGTCATCTGCTTCAAAGTAACTCTCCGTAAGGCCATTCTGACCCTGTGGTACCTAAAGACTAAATCAGGGAAGTTTAGTTCACACAATGAAATAAGCTACTGTGGCTCTACTTTCACTGACTGCAGGGTCAGAGCAGGCACACAAATAGTTACTTCAGTGCAGCAGATGCTCATGCCTGTTTTAACTCACTGTAATTTGCTCTTTTGTCCATACCCTTAAGCCATGGGCTGGCAACATGTTGTGCATTCATGAACCCCTGCATTATGTTATTTGAGGGACCCTTTTTCTGCAAAAAGCTGCATCGTCACTAAGGGAGTTCACTAGTATAGCCATAGTAGTACACCTAATGTAAGTGTAGGCAAGGCCTTAGACTTAATTCTTCAGGGCAGCATTTGCTTCTTAGTTTCTATACAGCAGTCAGCACAGTGAGGCCCTGTTCTGCTTGGGGCATTTGGGTCTAATTCAACAACAACAACAGTAATAATAATAATAATAATACCAAACACTTTAGGCTCCAACAGTCTACCAGAAATAAATCAATTCCTAATTCAAGGGGAATTAACCAGCAGTATTTTTTATCAAATCCACAAGATGGAGCCATTTCAATTCTATTAGAATTGTGTGGCAGGCACCTGATTTCTGGGCTGCAGAAGGGAAATCCAATGGGTATGATTCAGCATACAGATCACAAAGACAGTGATTCCCCTCTTTAAGCTGAACAGCACCCTATCTAACAAGAAATCCCTGCCTCCTCCTACTCCTTCCTTCTCCATATATTTGGCCAGCTGTCAGACTCCCTGCTGGTCTAACCCTCTCCCCCCACAACCCCTGTGGGACCATTTACCAGAAGGATCATTCTAGGATCTGAGCAAAGAACAGTATTTTAAGCACGCACACTCATAAGAGCCCACAGATTTCTCATGTATCCATCCATTCTCCATGTCCTCCCATAAAGTCCCCTGTGCAAACTGTACACTGTACAAACTTAAGCCTTCTGGCCAGAGTTTTTCAGACTCGCTTCCTTTTTAGACACAATGATCTCTATCCAGAATGGTAAAATACAGATCACCAAATACAAGAAACCCATGCACCAACATACACATCTGCACAGAACCAGCTTTCCCCCTAACACACAGCCAAGCCCTCCGATACCACCAAATTTGCACTAAGGAGACCACCCATGATCATCACCTCACAAATCTCAAAAGGGCTTCACTCAACAAGGACACTCCTCCAGAGAGATAGATCACATTTTTGAAAGAGCCACCTGGATACCACTTGAAGGACTGCTGCAGTACAGAAGGAAAACCCCCATGAATCGCACACTGCTGGTTATGACATATCACCCCTCCCCGGAACCCATATGGAAAAATCTTAAAACATTTGCAACCCATACTAGAAGATGATGCGATTCTTAAAGCTATCTTCCCAGAACCACCTATCCTAGACTTTAAACAAGCACTGAACCTTGCTAGCCTCATCATCAGAAGCAAACTTCCTATGGCCCAAAACTCACCAAATGGATCCAAACCATAGAATCATAGAAGTAGGGTCAGAAGGGACCTTGTAGATCTTCAAGTCCGACCCCCTGCCTGGGCAGGAGGAAAACTGGGTTCAAATGACCCTAGCCAGGTAGGCATCAAGCCGCTTCTTAAAGACCCTCAGGGTAGGAGCCAGCACCACTTCCCTAGGAAGTTGGTTCCAGATCCTAGCCGCCTGAACTGTGAAGTAGTTCTTACGAATGTCTAATCTAAACCTACTCTCCAACAACTTGTGGCCGTTATTCCTTGTTATCCCGGGGGGGGCTAGGGGAAACAAGGTCTCCCCCAAACCCTTCTGGTCCCCCCTAGTGAGTTTACAGATGGTCACCAGGTCCCCCCTCAGCCTTCTCTTGTGAAGGCTGAACAGGTTCAGGTCCCGTAGCCTTTCACTGTAGGGTCTGCCCTGCTGTCCCTAGATCATGCGGGTGGCCCTCCTCTGGACCCTCTCAATGTTGTCCACATCCCTCTTGAAGTGGGGTACCCAGAACTGGACACAGTACTCCAGCTGTGGCCTGACCAGTGTTGCGTAGAGGGGGAGGATCACCTCCTTGGCCCTACTTGAGATGCACCTGTAGATGCACGATAGGGTCCGGTTGGCCCTGCCAACCGTGACCTCACATTGTTGGCCCGTGTTCATCTTGGAGTCAGTGATGACTCCAAGATCCCTTTCTGCCTCCGTGCTCTCAAAAAGGGAGTTTCCCATCTTATAAGTGTGCTGCTGGTTACTACTGCCCAAGTGCAGCACTCTGCACTTGTCAGTATTGAAACTCATCCTGTTTTTGTTAGCCCACCCCTGAAACCTATCCAGGTCATTCTGCAGTCTTTCCCTCCCTACTAACATGCCCACCTCACCCCAAATTTTGGTATCATCAGCAAATTTGAACAGGTTGCCTTTTACCCTGTTGTCCAAATTGCTGATAAAGAAATTGAACAGCGTGGGCCTAAGGACCGAGCCCTGGGGGACTCCGCTGCCCACTTCCCTCCAGGTTGAATATGACCTGTCTAACACCACCCTCTGAGTACAACCCTTCAGCCAATTTGCAATCCATCTGACCATGTAGGCATTGATGCCACAGTCACCTAGTTTTTTAATGAGGATGGGGTGCTCAACAGTGTCAAAGGCCTTCCTGAAGTCCAGAAAGACTACATCCAAGGCGACACCTGCATCCAATGTTTTTGTGACCTGATCGTAAAAGGCAGTCAGGTTGGTCTGACATGACCTGCCCCTAATGAAACCGTGCTGGTTGACCTTGAGCATCATCCCCGATGCCGGCCCCTCACAGATGTGCTCCTTGATGATCTTCTCAAAGAGTTTCCCCAGGATTGAGGTAAGACTGACGGGCCTATAGTTGCCTGGGTCCTCTCTCCTCCCTTTTTTAAAGATGGGGACCACATTGGCTATCTTCCAATCATCTGGCACCTGGCCCGAGCACCACAAGTGCTTGTAAAGCCATGCCAAGGGCCCTGCAATAACCCCTGCTAGCTCCCTCAACACCCTGGGGTGGAGAGCATCTGGACCTGCTGATTTGAACACGTCCAGCCCCTCCAGAAGCACTCTAACCCGGTCCTCCTCAACCTTAGGTCTTGAGGCGTTCCCCTTGAGTCCGTCTTGAATCACAGTGGGGGAGTCCCGGTCCCTGCACAAGAAAACAGAGGTGAAGAATTTGTTAAAGAAGTCTGCCTTCTCCTCTGGCGCACCCACCAGATTGCCCAGCGTATCTTGCAAGGGCCCCACATTTCCCAGTGCCTTCTTCATCCTCACTATATATTTGAAAAAGGACTTTTTATTATCTTTGATCTTGGACCCTAGTCCTGGACGTCTTTGGTGAGCCAGGGGGGCTTTTGGGCACTCTTGCCCCCCTTGCTTCTTGTTGGGATCGTCACCCCTTGTGCCCTGAGTATCGTCTCCTTAAGGAACGACCACTCATCTTGGGCACTGAGGTCCCCTGCCCTCAAGAACCCCAGCGCCTCACCCACCAATCTCCTCAACTCGTTGAAGTTGGCCCTCTTGAAGTCTACCGCCTTGCTGCAAGCCCTTGACACCCTGCACTGGATGGTGAATTTCAGCAAGTGATGATCGCTATCACCCAGGTGGTCAAGGACCTGGAGCCCCCTTACGATATCATAGCCTGTGGCCAGGACCAGGTCCAACAGGGCATTTCCTCTGGTGGGACTGTGCACCTCCTGGGTTAAGTGGAGGTCCTGTATCTCGGCCAGGAACCTCCTGGAACGGTCCGACCTAGGTGACTGCTCCTCCCAGCAGATGTCCAGGTAATTTAGATCACCCATGACAACTACATCCCTTGCCTTAAGTGCCTCTGCAAGCTGGCCCGAAAATTCCTGGTCCAGCTCCTCCCCTTGGTTGGGAGGTCTGTAGTAGACCCCCACCATTAAATCCGTCTCCCCACGACCCCCTTGTATCTTGACCCAGAGCACTTCAGTTTGCCCATCCTCGGACCCCATTTTGCATGCCCTTCCTCCGACCCCACCATGCCATGCCAAGAAATGTAAAACCTGCCAACACATCTCCACCACTCCACAATTGCTACACCCCACAACAGAGCCATCAACATTCCTGGATCTGACACCTGCACTTCCAGAAATGTAATATATCTCATCCAGTGCAACAAATGCCCAGATAGAAAATATGTAGGAGAAAGCAAACAACAACTGTGCACCAGAATGAATGGACACCGGAAATCTATCAAAGACAAGAATACCCAATTAAATGGTGGGGGCACATTTCTCACAAGAAACCACTCTCTCACCAATCTCTCAGTTCTAATCCTCAAAAGGAATTTACAAAACATCTTTTACAAACAAGCCTACGAACTTCACTTCATAAATCTACTGGACTAAATATATACATTGGATTTATGACACATTATAACTTGCCTAACATTTGACTCCCCTGGTAACCTCTCTACGATTTATCAGCTATAGTCAATCCCCTTTCCATCCCTTCCCCCACTACACCTGTCTCTCATCCATTGACTACCTTAATTTACATTTTTCACTGACAGTCTCTGGCATGCATACTGGTCTGTGGCTTCTTTACTGTTCCATCCAGGAAGAGCACAGACCAACTGCAGACACTTCCTCAGCCTGATGAAAGGGTATTTGTACCCAAAAGCTTGCAAAGAAGAATTTTTCCGACTATTTGAATTGGTCTAATAAAAGATATCAGATTTACCTAAAGAACCTTATCTGCCTCAGACTCACAACTGCACTTTTCATTAAACACAATAGCAGAGTTCCTCATATCATTCATTCTCAACTCCTATGGTAAGACCAGTTACTGCTACAGACTAGCTTTCAGCTACACAATATTGCCAGCCTTTCATAATCAGAAAGGATCATGTTCTGGCCTCAAAAACTTTTTCCTTCTATTATAAATAGACTTCTGCTACTTTTCCACATCAGCCCCTTTGTGTCTTTATTTCAGAACAATAAAGTACATGGAGTTTTGACTATAGTTCTGCTTTGTCCACCAGTTTTGTGATGGAAAGAAGACTGTATACTGCTACAGGCCACTGCATTATCTGTTCTTAAACATCACCGGTACAGAATATGCAGTTCTGTTCTGCCCAAGCTTAGGCAGAGAAGCCATTCTTTTTCTGAAAACTGACATAGTTCCAAAGTCCTTTTTAAAGGCAAGCTAGAATGCTATTTCTCTTGCCTGGGGTCTAATTTCCAAGAGCAGAATTCATTTTCAAAAGGAGCTAGTTTTCATATAAGTCATCTAGAATTTTTAAAAAATTAAATGGACATGGAAGCTCATTTGCTTAAACTGCAGTTCTTGAAAAGTGAAATATTTGTACTCTGTTTCTTAAACCAGAAAACCATCTACTTGATTGATTATGCCTTTGAATTTCTGTAGCAGTGTAGTTCATCATACTTACAGATCCCTTTGGGCCCAGCAGTCCCATATCACCCTAGACAAAAATAAAATTATTTATGTCAGACCAGGGAATTCACATGCAATTACAAATACAATATGCTGGACAGGATTTCCTCAATACTTAACAAATGAGCATACTATTCAAACTGAAGGCATTTGCTGAAGTACAAAAACTGAGACCAATAAAGCAATCAAAAGAATGGAAACCAGGCATAAATACTTTCTTGTGAAGAAAGTATAGATTTAACTTATACCATTAGTATTCACACCTCAGAGATATTTTTGCTATATATAAACAAAAACGTATTTTAAGGCATTATTATGCACTTTAATTCAGATTTTTAAAATATGAGGATGTAGAGCCAGATGCCATCCCCATCTGAGATAATAGGAACTGGTTGGAAATATTTAGATGAATATCCAGTCTTGCGCAACAGCTGAACCAAGCCGTTACACAAGACTGTTTCTAGTTAGATTATATTTCCTGGGAAACTGGTCAAGTTTCACCTGGAGACCCAGATATCCTAGCTCCCAAGCTCCTCAGTCATCCAGCTTTTCAAAATCCCTAACCCCTATGCAGCCTGCCACCTAGGCTTCCCAAAAGCCAGATTTCCTGATAAACCTGTGGTGAGAAAAGCAATTCTGATTCATGGGAGCTCAGAGATTTTTAATTTTTTACTATGAACTAGAATGCAAATAGATTTAAAAACAAAATCTCAGAATCTTCCATAAAACAGAATTATCATTCTCCACCCAGCTCTATTCATGAGATATAGAAGCATTTAACCATAGCACCTTGAGATATTTTCCTGCAATTGGGACTAATGAGATTCCATGGATTGGGAATGGATAGTATCAACAGGCAGCAACTATATAAAATGAAGCCATGCTTCTCGTAGATGATCTACACTAAACATATTTAATTGTCATCACTTTAGAAAAAGAGTCCCTAACACCAGGTTCACACCCCCACTGCAAGTATGTGGGTATGGGGGGAAGGATTTCTTTAGTAAGGAGCAAACTTCCTGAGCCACTATTGTAAATTTCGAAACTTGAAAAAACAAAAAGTTTAGGAACAAGTTTCATCTTGCAGTGTTGAACATGGGACTGATGTATTAATGGTACTGATCATGGATTGACGGTATCATGGATTGAAAGTATCTTGCTATAGAAACATATTGAGAGGGAGCAAATTAGACGCACTGGACCAGCATGCTGATATGTCTTTGTTTACATATGCATGTAAATACAAAACCTAAGCTCTTGATATTTTAAGGGAGCCAGAAGGATTTCAAAACAGCAACAGCAATGCAGCCAGGCCCACAAAACTGCAAAATTCTGCAACAAGTCAAAAGAGTGTGTGCCATGATGACATAGGAGGGTTTTCAATGACAAAAAACTGACACATTGTAAAAGGTACTACAGTAGTAGACCAAAAGGTAAAAATGCACCAAATGAATACATGTATACAGATGAAGTGACAATAAGGTCTTACCAGGTCACCCCTTCCTCCTGGTTCTCCTTCGGATCCAGCAGTACCCTACAGCAAAGAAAGATACATGGTAAGTCTGAAATGCCTTAAATAATTTAAGATACAGAATCACTGAGTAATGGATATCATGACTCATAAGTAAACCATCTGTGATTTGTATTAGAAGACTTACTTGTTCACCTTTAGGACCTGGCTCACCAACTGTGCCCTAAATGTAAAATAAAAAACAAAGTATTATAAATTTTGAAATTACTGAGACTTTACAGTAGAGTTCACTTTACTGTCTTCACAGCTAAAAGCATGTAATCTTGAACCAGGATTCTTGGAGTAATACTTGAAGTATTCTTTTGTCTTCCTTCCTCCATTTCTTAATTGCTTTTATCAAATGTATTCCTAGAGAGAACCAAACTCTAGAACAATCCAGGAGATTTTTCGATGTACTAGTAATTGCACTTATGCAAAGATCAAATCAGAATTAACTGTTCTTATGGCAACTCCTATAAAGAAGGGCAGGTAAAAAGGAAAGAAAAGCAATTCTTCATATCTCACTCAAATTCTTTAATAATTTGGGCGTAGTTCACATACAGGGGTATATCATGTTGGACTGCATCTGAAATTTTCCAAACCATTAGTCCATGTGTAGACACCTGTACAGATTAATTTTTTCTAGCTCCCCACTGAACACAAGCATTTGGAAATAGAAATGCACAGGATTTCAGCTTCAGTTCAAGTCCAAAGCAGAAGGTTCATTACCAAAATCCACTATAACATGATGGCTGTTCATTAAGGTCCACTAGGGTAAAATAAGCACCCAATACCAGTGATCCTTAAACTCATGCAAAATACTTCAATAGGCTTTGGCAATCACTATACAGTTAGTAGTAGAAAAATGTTCACAATCAAACACCCCTATCCTAACAAACTCTGGTTGCTATTGTTAGTGGCAGTCTCAGTAGAGATGCCAAGGAATGAATGGACATGGAGAGTTAAATGTTCTCTCATAATTAGACATGTATTCACCTAAAGGCTGAGGCATATGGATAGGGTAGATAGGAGCAATTTGCACCAGTGCTATTACTCATGTTGTGTAGGTTGAATGGATAGAGAGAGGATTTTCATGTTTACTGCCAATCTGGGATGCTCAATTCATTATAAATGAAATTAAGGGTAATGAGAGCTGTTTCAGTTAACAAAACCTTTCTGATTTGTTTAATGAACACACACACATCATGCAGTGCTATTCAGTCTATTCAGTTTCCTTTCCTGTGATCTTTTATGCAACTGTAACCCTGTTGGTAAGAATTGTGAGGTAGAAAAAATAAGGTTAAGTGATTTCAAAAATATACAAAATTATATTCACCATTTCCTCTAATGGTTAGGCAAAGAACACCTGTTTTGCATTTATATATATTCACAATGAAAATGCTTCTAAAACATGCACTGTAATTAAGGCAATACAGCGCACACAACATAACATAGTCACCTACTACAGGCTAGCCTGGGGCTTTCAAACCATAACCCTGCATAGAATTGTCCTTCTATACAAGCAGGACTGGATTGTTTGCCAAGCCTAACCTTTTTGTCTTGAGTCTGACTATTAGTATATGCTCTTTTCCACATTTAGCCCCACCCTGCATGTGTTGAGGAGGAGGAGGTTGCATAAAAAGCCAAGAGCTCTATCTAGTTATGAGAAATATGTGAAATTATGTTCAATACTAAACACCATGGTAATGGAAAATATAAGCCTTAATTCCAATAATTTTGATTGTCATCTTGCCTTGCTTACCAGTTCAAGCCTTATTTTAGTGGCCACGGGGTGTAGTGGCACACTGGGCACTCCGGATGGGAGCAGTTCAGTGCAGGGCTACTGCTGCCCTGCTCTGCTCCTTTACAGTAGCCAGGAAAAGCTCCAGGCTCCCTCAGGTGCCAAACCCAGGTTGTCAGGGGGCACTGGGGTCAGGCCTGGGCTCAGGGGAGGGGAGGCACAGAGGGAGCTGTCCTGCCTCCAGGGTAGCTGCCTCCCAGCCCTGCACCCCTGCCCCAGGCAGCTGCCTGCTGCCAGGACCCAACTCTGAGATCAATGCCAAGGTGGGGACATTGTCCCAGGCCCCTGCTCTGAGATTTGCTCCTGGTCAGCTGTCTACAAGTGTGCTAATGTGCAGTAGGTACTGCACGGTGAATCTACTACAGTAGCCTGTTTTACTGTGCAGTAACTGCTGCACACAGTTACATAGTGACACTTTACTGAGCAGTAGATGAATCTACTGTGCAGTAAAGAGTCTCATGTAGATGCACCAACTGACTCTAAAACATTAGCATTAAAACCAAAGCTCTGTATGCCACCTGAAAGCTGGTAAGCCCATTCTTCAAATGCTACAAAACATTCATCCATGTTTTAGAAGCTTGTAAGAATACTTACTGCCCTAATCATGCCAAAATGTGAAAGGTTGCATGTACAGGGCAAACAAATTAGTAATGACCTAGTTATTTTTCAGTATATTTGGCGTTACTGAATGTTAATTGAGTAGTTTATTGTGTAAAGAAGAATCAGTGTTTGTTTTCTATCAGAGAAGAGAATCACCACCCAAGTCTTAGATGCTACTTGAGGACTGTGGTGCAGCAAAATCATACACATCTCCTCCAACATCCAAAGAGACTAGGGAAAAGGGAAAGGAGCAGTGAAAGTAGTTCAGTTCCTGCTTCAACCAATCTCCAATTTCTGCTTCTAAATTTGCAAAAATCTATCATTTAGGCTAGATCTTAAATTTGGAAATATAACTACAGAAGAGCTATGCCCTATCCAAAGACAAGGTACAGATGACCGGTCCAAAAAACAATAAATCAGAAACAGTATAAGACATGAAGACTGGGACTACCTGCCCCTCCCCCCCCACTACTCAAGACATGCATACCTACATAAAGTACCACACAGCTATAGGACTATTCCCTATTTATATTTATACAAATAATTCATGTATGAAGTGCTACCAGATGGCACTTAGACTGTGTAACAAAGTCTCTGGGTTTAGCAGTATCATTGAAATGTGAAGTTGTCCTTCTGATTTAGCTTCTGATTGCTCTTTACCTCACCTCTTAACACACATGAAGGATTCAAAATTGGGTTTTTGAATCAAGCAGAACTAGGACTATTCCTAGTTCAAACAGAACTGGGAATATATAGTCTCAGGGAGATCAGAAAGGGAAGAGGGCTACATGGATGACCTTGAATCCATTGGAAATAACATCACTGGCTAAACCCAAGGCTATGGATGGATATCACTTTTAAAAAGTTTAAAAGTGAAGGAGGGATACCTGCTACTTGGGAGCACACATCAACAGTTTCAACTATACTGTTACATCTTTCCACTCCTATACTGGTCTGAAACAGGCTTGGTATTAGAGTAGTGTAGCTCAATTTATGTTGATATAGCAGCAGATGGATGTAACATTTCTATTGGAACAGCTTACCTGGTATAATTTAACATATAATATATCAAATTTAATACCAAATAAGTGTGTCCACTTTCTAAGACTAGTGTTGAAGAAAGAATAAAGCTGTGGATATAGTTAGATCCTATTCAGTGTTGTCTCAATATAGGAAAACTAAACAAAAAATGTTGGAGGTTTTTTTAAAGATGGGCTAAGTTAATTCATAGCATAACAGTAAAGAGAGAAACACTGGGGATGAACTTGGCTGTATAATTTTAAAAAACAGCTCTGCTGAAATACCCTGGCAAATTATTTAGGTCAGTAAATGGAAGCCTCTTGAGAACGCTCTCTAAATCTACGACAAGGCACTCAGGAATTGCTTGCATGGCTCAAAGCAAAGTCATGTAAAGAACCCACACTAGCTCTGAACCATCTGGTATGTCTACAGAGCACATGGTGTGTGTGTTCACGACCATAAAGAGAGCTATTTTCTTGGATCCCAGAACCAGCATAACCACGTTAAAGCTACCCAAGCTAATTAGCTCTGCTTTTCACCTTCTCAATAGAGTTGATTAATCCATGCAGAGCCTCATGCTGATGTGACTAAAATGCTTCAGTTCAGAGCTAGTACAGCATTTAACTGATGTAATAAAAAAGAGGAGCTTTCAAGTTACTGTCTGGCAGAAGGAGCTTGACAGCTGATGAGAAGTTTGCAAACCTGCTCACATTTTAAAAAGCCACATAAAACATAGTCCATGCCTACCGCACAAACTTGCTGTATCCTGCAGCACAGCCCATAAACTTAATAGGTTGCTCTGTGCAGGCTGTCTCCTGAACCAAAAATAAAGAAGCCCCCTCTGTACGGCACTGCAGGCAGACTTATCAGCACCACCAAGTGAGAACAGCACATTTGAGGGTGTCTCTGCCAGGCATGGTAAGCTCGTGGTTGTGACACGGCCTAAGATTACATGGATATAGTAGAGGTGCACTGATACATCGGTCCAATATCAGATTGGCACTGATATAAAGCAAATCAACTGTATTGGAAATGGGCTTTTTTTGCCTGATGTGGTTGATAATGTGGCTGATAAATGCCCTGTTCATGAGAGCAGCTGCAGCGCAGCACATAGGTGGCAAGGAGCACAGCCTGACAGCTTGGAGAGCTGCGTCTAGCTGGTAAGTCTGTTGTGGTGGAAGGGGAGGGGGGAAGGAGGAAGTGGGGGCAGACCAAGGCCCCCACAGTGAGGGAGGGAGTGGGGGTGGGGCTGGGGCAGGGGCTGCCCAGCTGGGGCAGGGTGGGGTGGAGCATGGGACAGAGCCGTGGCTTGTCCAGGGGGTGCGGGAGGGTGGGGCAGCTCCCACCACTGCGCACACCCCAGGATGGCATGGAGGGGACATGTGCCCCTGGATCTGCATGGGGTGGCACAAGCAGCTGCTGCAGGCTGGGTCTGGGGCTGCGCCAGGCTGCACTTGGGGCAGGGTGGGCAGTGGTGCTGGGAAGGGAGCTGTGGTGTGGGGAGGGATACAGCAAATTATGGGGTGGCTGCAGCACTCCCTCCATAGCCTCCCTCCCAGCACCACTGCCCCCCCTGCCCCAGCTGGGCAGCACCTGCCCAAGCCCCTGTCCCAACCCCACTCTCTCCCTCACTGCAGGTGCCTCCATCTGCCCTCCCCCGCATGCCTCTTCGCTTCCCCCTCCCCTTCCACCACAACAGACTTATCAGCTGGACACTGCTCTTCAAACTGCTGGGCTGCATATCGGAAAATTGATTGGTATCGGCCAATATGCCTCCTTAAAAATCGGCTATTAGCATCAGCCCAAAAACTCTCTATTGGTGCACCCCTAGGATATAGGGAGAAAAGATGTTTTGTGACCCTTGAAAACCTGCCAATCTATAGACAATAACTTCACAACTTGGCACTGATCCCTCGCAGCCAAGGGAAGAAGAGAGAAGCAGCAACCCCTTACACAGTCTCTTCACATCCCAGACCTGGGTTTCTGTGTTCTCTGTGAGCAAGTGTAGTAATGGAGCACCTTTTGTACGGGAATTTTGGGATCTTCTGTGACATGCATACTCCAGGGAGGTAACAGCCTTGTAGGTATAGTGGAAGTCTAAAGCTCCAGGGGCACTACAGTATACTGTTGGAGTTATCCCCCCTGTACCTTATGAGCTTCGGTGTGTGTGTGTAGATACCTCAATAGTTGCAGCAGTGTATTTCTGTAATATATGTAGAGAAATACACAAAAACACTGCAGATACTGAAAAAGGGTCAAGTTTTCAAAAGTATTACTGACTAAAAAGTCTAATTCCCATGTCCCAGAGTGCCTAACTCATTTTTTTTTAAAGGGATTAAGACCCCTACGTGACTTAGGGCTTTTGAAAAGCTGTCTTTATGTACCATTTTTTAAGTAAGATCAAGTATTTTTGGTACGTGCTTATGAGCCATAAGTAGTTGCTAGATACACAAAGCACCATTGTTTCTAAACAGATCAATACATCTTGGTATGGAAGAAATTATGGGAAATAAAGAATCATTACATACTTATGCCAAAATCATTGTTTTCCTTCTGACCACATATTGCAGTTGGTACACCTCCAAGTGCATTTCTTACCCTGTCACCTTTAACACCAAGGAGGCCTGGAGGACCAGGGAGTCCTGGAAGTCCTATATCCCCTTCAGAGCCCTGTGAAAATAAATCAAGGATGGAAACTTATCAATATTGCATCTGAAGTAAAAAAAAAACCCAGCAGCTGAAAAGAAGGCAGATTCTGATTCCCAAAGTAGGACTTGATTCCCAGAGTAGTCACAGCTGACGGAGTAAAGAAGGGATTATGCAGTGTGAGCAACAGTAACAGAACATTGCCCAAAATATTACCCATGTAAATAGCACCTCATGAGGATTGTATAATTGCCAAACACAAATAGCAAGAGTAATTAGACTCTCCCCTCCAGTCCTTGGGCTAAATAGTTTAGTTGTCTTATAAAACCATCCTGTGATGTCTCACCCCCACGGTTCATGCATTCCTCCTTAACAGCAGGCTCTTTCACCAAGACCTCCCTAACTATGCTTCTAACTATTACTGTGTAAATATTGTTTGAGCAGTAGTAAAAGAGGGCATTCATGATCCATCCTTTTCATTAGCTCCAGGCAGCTGCTAGCAGAAAGGTGGCCTTTCACTCCTCCTGCTTCTTGAAAATGCATAGCACATACAACAGTTTGCAACATCAGTTTCAAGAATCACAAAGAGCCTTTACGCTTTTTTGTCCTTGCCACCTCCTACCCATACCGCACATTTTCATATGCTTTAAAAAATGCACATTGTTACATTAGTACAGTCACAAAGTACTGAAAAGGAAGCTTATCCATGAGCCACATCATCATTCTCCAATTCCCTATAGAAATGAACAGGCAAGTAAGGATTCTTCATGTTCCTGCAAGATTAATATAAATACTGGAAATAGAAATCTGTTGCTTACCCGTTTCCCTGGTGGTCCTGGAGGACCAGCAGGACCTGGATCACCTCTACCACCCTGGAAGGAAATAGAAAGACATTGTTACTGCCTGAAATATTTATTTTCCTGTAAACTGGAAACGAAGTGGGATCTTTTTTTCCCCTTAAAATGTATTGAAATATTACTTATTATATGGCATTAATGTAGGTCCTTGTTTTTTACTACAAACATGCAAAAGACAAAAGTTAATTTAAAGACACTAAAAAGTTTTAGAAATAGTTTAAAAACTACCATGCAGTTGTGCCTTGTTGCATAGGATTTTAGTTAATGTTAAATGACTGGATTTTTCAGTTCCCCCAAAACAAACCATTATACTTTTATAGCCACATTGAATAACATTTAGGGACAGACTGTGGTGATCCCCTAACCCCCTCTGGTGAGCAAGTGCTCACAGGCATAATGATCCCTTCAGTGGGACTGCTCCTGTGAGAAATCATCCATCACTAGTCCCAAATCAGGAAAGCTTGTAGGCATATTGTTAAATCCATCCTTATTCAGGAACAGTATTTAAACATGAGTTTAATTTTAGGCATGTGTTCAGTCATATCCACAGGACTTAAAACTATGAGCTAAATTTAAGATTATCTTTAAGCACTGCCATTAATAGGAAGGCCCAGTTTGAGTTTGCTTTCTTCATAAATGACCTTTAAAACTATTGGTCTCAAAGTACTTGAAGCTCATACTCCCCTACTGTGCACACTATATAGAGCCACATTTGAAAATTTCGAATCGTATTGAGATAACAAAAAGCTATGAATTTTATGAGGGAAATATCCTGAAAACTTGTGATTATAGACATCATCACCATCATATACCCTCATGATTTAACGTTCATTTTTAACTTCATGCATCATCATATCCATGTTGATGTTTAACACCAAAACTATCTCTTCACATATAAGCTATAGGTACACTTCAACATTCGGAGGATATGCAAAAGCATCTATGTGACTTAAGAACCCAAGTGCCTTTAAACTTGTCAGTATGTGGGGAGCCTGGCTCTAGAGAGCTGTTCCCTGATCCTGAAAGATAAATATAAGTACTGGCTGCCCAGCTCCCCATTTACCTAGACCTTTGAAGGGCTGCCCCAGCATCCCTGTTGCCATTGCCACTGCCAGGTGAAAACCTGGTATAAAATTATGCAGAGCACGTACAAAAGTGTTAAATACAACATTTAACAAGATCATAAGAATATACAATTGTGAGCTATCAGTTTAAAGATTAGTTAGTTTGTTGTATGTGGCTCTATAAGACTTGGATGTCAGTATATCTGCATACTCCAGTGTGGCATATAGTAGATAATTTCAACTGTAGCTAGTATGTTAGAATCAAAAGAATATTATGATAATGTTGAACAATGAATGGAGAAAGACCTAAAAATGGTGTTTTACACCAGGTTATAAATGCCTGGAGGTACTCCTCAGGCAAGCTTAGTATGATTGAAGTTTTTAAGAATAATTGGGTAACCTAGAGAGATTAGATCATTTCCTCAGAAAGTGCCTATGATTTTAGAACCACTACTCCCAGTAACATTATTTTTCATAGTAGAACTTTGACCCTCATTCTATCACCCAGGAAACCAAGTAATCTTTTGTAAATCTTATATTTAACCATCTTATTTCTGTAATACTCCTCAAACCAGGCTTGTTACATATCGTCCCAGGAAATGGAATTTCATATATACTGGGTGCATCTACATGTGATGCTACATTGCCATAGCAACGTGTTATGGCGACGTAGCTTCAATGGGCAAAAACCGTGACACTTCAGCCACGTCACCGTAGCAGCACACTCCCTCATAAAAATAACCATGCGCAGCCGGCATGGTGCAGTACAGGCTGTTACTGCACTGTCCTTTAGTAATTATTTTTGGAAGTACTAAAGGACAGCACAGTAACAATGGCGCTGTACAGCCATGCATACACACACGCGCCCACTGTTGCACAGTGTAAAACAAAGGCCACCATCCTTTGTGCCTTGTGGAGGTGTTTTGAACCACTGTATCTGTACCAGTGAAGATCCAATGGCTTCTCTCTCATTTTGCCTTGATGGGTTCTTCCACATCAGCCTTTTTGATGTCACATCTGATAGAGACACACAGGCACTAGATGAATTAGAGGGATACTAAGGGACACTAGCTCTCTGTACTGGAGTGAATTTTACTCTCCATAAAACTTTAAGAGAAGCAAGGATTTTTTGTACAACTTTTATTGGACTAATGATACAGTGTTATTGGAGCCGTGATGGCCTAGGAAATGTCTGAGAGGCAAGAATTTTTTACTTTTTCCAATAGAAGATATTATAAAAAATCCTTGCCTCTTAGACATTTCCTGTATCATGGCTACAGCAACACTCAAACTTTACTTAATGAGACAGGCTAGTTCTGTTAGAGGTTTTAAGGTTTTACCTATAAAATAAACCTTTACAGCATCAATTCTCAACCTGTGGGGCGCAAGAATATATGAATGGGCCTTGATCAAACTTTAAAAAAATGTATCAAACTTTAAAAATGGATTCTCCTTTAAAAGAGAAAAACGTGGGAAACAGTGGCTTTTCCCTTGCAGGCTAGCAGAGTTCCAGCCTGCAAATGGGCTGCTTGGGGCCTCCCCTTGCGGGCAGGAGGCAGCAGATCAGGCATGAGAGGCATTAGGTTGGGACTGGCCATTGATGTTTACAAATGGGTCCTTGTACAAAAGAGATTGAGAACTGTTGCATTACAGGACAGAATGCATTTACAGGCTAGTTTAAGTTTTCAGTTTACCTGTTTTCTGGCCTTTTTTTTTTTAAGTTGTTACAGTCTTACTATTGCTACCAGACCATTCTGAGAATTACAGTAGCACATGGCTAATCTGCACATCACTAAATTGCAAAGCTCATCTACCCACAAACTGGCACCCTCTCCACACCTGTTGACTGAGATGTTATAGCCTACGCTGCAATAAGATCTCACATTGCTAAGAAAATTATTTCTACAAAATATACCATGCTGTACTCTTTGGTATAGTGGAAAGCAGAATTAATGATGAAGCTGTCATGAGTAAGAAAAGCTACAATAAAAAATAAAAGAGCATTTGTACTTTTGGAGCCTTCATTTTTCCATCCCATTAACCATCCAGCTTGATTTAAAGTTATCTGAGCTATATCTCTGGGTATGTTATCTAAGCAAAATCAAATGTGCATGCAGGTTAACAGCACAGCTATTGACTCTGATAAGGTTAAACATGCATCTGTTACACATATTGTATGGTCTAAGACAAAATACCTTCAAATCAAGGCACGTACTCAGAAGGGAGAATCTAGGTCTACTGGTAAAAGAGTAGGACTAACAGGGTAGGAGCCATAAACTGTTATACAACCTAGCCATAGTCTTCCCGGAGGATGTCAGTCTCCCTTCATACCTTTACATGGGGGTGTTTAAATTCATTGCTCATGAAGCACTCAGATATATGCATAATTAGCACACCCAGAAATACATGAATGTACAACATACATTCATAAATACATGAATGTGACTGATCATCCTGTTATGATACTGATTCCCCACTGAGGAAAACTGGCCTGTTGGCTTAAAGATGAGTATGGTAAAGAGGTCTTGGTCTCAAAATACCGATTTAAATCAGGCGGTTAGTTTAAATATCACAACAATCCAAGTGATGTTTCTGATTCAAAAAGAAAAAGACTATGGTTATAGCTAAGAAACCAGGCTTCACTGTAAAATCAAAGAAATAATTTAGCTGAAAACTACCATAGCTACTTAACATTTTTTAAAAGGAACAATTATGTACAAACGGATATACATATACATCAAGAGCATTTATTGAACTTAGTAGACTAAGGAATCTAAAAATTCTGTGTTTTTTTTTAAGAACCCTGAAAATTATTTATTAGGTTCAGAATTGCACAAAGTAGTTACCACATAAAAAAAATGGAAATAAACATTATAATCAAGCATCTGATACAAATACAAACAGAAGAAATTACATCCTGTGAAGCTTTAATAAATGAAAAGCCCAGCACAGAGAATTAGTGGAGGGGGCACAATCAAATATCTCTGATTAGGCTTGACACTTCAAAGTTCAAGAATTCTTTCTTTTGAGCCACCTGCTAGGACAAATAGTTTAAGATAGGATTTAAACCACAAATGAGGTCTGTAATTATTTATAATGGCTAACATAATGTGAAGCAAATGTAATGTTAACTGACAAAACAATTCCCTTATTTCTTTTGATATGAGACATTTCTTGAAACAAAATATTTCTGCTATAAAATGTCCTATGTCTTAAATTATACTGGAAAAAAAGATTAAAAGGTCTTATTGGGACCATAGCCGGTATATTCTTGTAACTTTGTCTTAACTGATGTTTTATTTTTTTCCTGAGAGTCATAAATTTTGGGTGAGTCTTAAATTCAAGGACATCTTGTACTCAAAGGAATATTTTTACTAACTGAAGGATGAATATAAAGAATGCATCAATTAAAATGTTTTTCTCAGTTGTCCATTTCAATTTTCTAAGGAAATGTAGTTATTTATCCTCAAGTGCTTATTTTCTTCCACAGAAAATCATCAGTAGTGAAACAGAGGGGACTTCAACAAATAAATACATTTAGTTGAATTATCTTTGTTTTCAATAATTATCAACCTCCTCTAGAAAACTAAGATAAGTGTTTCAAATATTGCAATGTATAGAACTGCAATTTTTTAGACCTATGTGACAACATTTTCATAAATACGTTACAAAAGTGGCTTGTTAAAAAAATAATCTATTGATGCAGCACCTTTCATCTAAAGACATTAATTTTCCATTGCTGAAATGCAGCTTCATCAGTGAGTGAATTGCAGCAGTTATTTAACAGCTCACAAACACTATACAACAGTGCATG